GTTCATGCGGTGCACACTGACACACATTTACATCTTTTTTTAATTCCCTTTGTCTTTCTTCTGGCTGCTGCAGTCATAGCACTGATGGCTGAAGACAACCTTTACTTACCAGTGAGGACTAAACAATTTTCGGCACTGCTACTCTGACACGGACCTGCTGTATGGATGTTGGAATTTGGAATGAGGGCAGATGGTGTCACCGCATGTGTCCAGCCCTGCTGCTCCGACTGCTAACATGACTTAAGGGGCTTTGACTCATGTTCTTACATGAGAAGGTGCAGGTGATCGTACAAGATGTTCCCTCATGAAGCAGTAGAAGGATAGTGTTAGCTTATATGGGCTAATGCTATTACTAATCTACACTCACTTACTGATCCTGCTCTTTGCACTACTTCTGTGTTACTTTTGGGTATTTTTGGCATTTGTTAGCACAGCTATCCTGATTCTGTTTCACTATACTGTAATACTGTGTTTTGCAATTTCAAAAATACTATTCTATTATATTCAGACAATTTGATTTTCTTGTTAGAAGTTGCTAAGTTGGATTAGTTAGATCACATAAGGCTAATAGTTTTTTCTGCACATTTTCCATTGTCCAGTTCCGCTGCTCTCCCACAGTCTAGAAACATGCATATGAAGTATTAGATGAAGTATAATCTCTAAACTGACCATAGGTGTGAAGAAGAGTTTGAATGGTTAATTCCAGGCTCCACCTAGACCATCTTAGCAGATTAGGTTTAGATGAATGGACGAGAAACACACTTGATAAATACGAAACCATATTTATCTAACTCCTACTCTTTCTCTGTCTCTCTCGCTCTCTTTTCTCCCCCTCCCCTTGCATGCCCCTCTCTAATTTTCCTCACTTCTGCTCTCGACATCATCTCCTTAACCTCCCACTCACCTCTTTACTCTGTACTTTATATTGGACCTTCTATTATAGTTCCCTCCTTTCCATCCTCACTTACTCGTGTCCTTTTCACTCCCTCTGAGTTGGCTTATATTTTCCTCGGTGTCTGCAGTCTTCAGCTACACCAAAGGCAGCAGTGAGTTATCTTCTGTGCACACACACAGACACACACACACTATGAATACACAGAAGCTCAAATTTGGACAGATATGTATTAGCACAAACACTTGCTTTTATACAGTAAAATTCTCCTACATTGTATATGCAAAAACGGCAGCTTAAAAAGTGAATATAGTAAAAATGTGTTTAAATGTGGCAAAAAATATGAATGCACACACCATAAAAGTGGCTGAGTAGCCAATTTAAAGATATCAATATTTGAAGTAAAGACACACAAGGATAAGTAACGCATTTTACTTGGATAGAGTCCAGCAGCAGAATACAGCAGAGACATGTGTGAGGAAGAAATAACCTTATGCAACATAATAAACGTTTAGATATGAAGTGCAGGTGAAGCTAAGAGGCACTGAGGAGGTTCCATTCAGACAGAAACCCAAGCTACAGATAGATAGACTCATCGATCGATGTTCTCACAAGCTTCTAGGAAATTAAGGGGGATTAAAGAGAGGGATTTAGAGCTGAGTGAGGTAGATGGTGAGATTCCTGGCAGTCTGCCTCGACACTTTGTCATGGATCAGGACCCAAAGGGAGGAAGTGAGAACAGGACGAGCCAAAACCAAGGCCTCCGTCTGTGGTTACGGATTTGACAAACGTCACAACTGTGGGTTTGATGGAAAAGTGCTCATCACACAACTGACGGCACACCTTCAATCAACTTCAATGTCATTTTATCACCTAAATCTGCACAAACCAAGTCTCTGCTCCTGCAGAGGCTGAGGTAAAAAAACCTTTGTCAAATCATTTGGTTTCTTTCTAAAAAAGTGTTTGTTATGAATATAAGGGTGAATTTAGGCATTAATGTAAAAAATTCCTGTGGAGCTGAGTGACAAATAAATTAAGTTTTGAGAAAATATGAGCTGATGTCGGCTGACATTGATAAATACAAGGACTTTAAAATGATTCAACTTGTAATTTACTACTACAGACACTTTACATCACTACTGTGATGTAATATTAAGTCAAATTAAATAGTGTTGTCTTGTCTTGTTGTACAACTAAATGATCAGACAGGACAAGAAAATCATAACTTGGATGTGAATTTTAAGAGGGTTTTAATTTTAAGTGAAGGAAATAAATAATACCAAAAAAAAAAAAACCTTGTAAACTAAAATCTCTCTTTTGCCAGAATGTTAAGTCAAGTCTCCATTAAGGGAAATTGCAACAAAAGGTTTTATGACCCTGTAGTCCTCAGCTTTCCATTTAATAACTGGAGCTTTGTAACACCATAATTAACATTCTCTGGTTCCTTAAAGCATGGTGTCGGTGTCAGTTCAAACCCTCCCAGCGTGATCTCTGGGAGACGTGAGCGGCCATCAGCTGGTATTGTGTAATCAGCCAGGCGTTAGTCAGCCGCCCGCTGATACAACTCCCCGAGGAGGGAAAGGTTATTGGTCAGTATGACAAAGACACTCAACTCCTGCCAGTGCAGGTGCTGCAGATACTATTAGTTTTGATGGATTGGACGTGAGAAGGCCAACGGTTGTGGTCCATGGTATTAGGCGGTGGAAAAGGAGATAATCTAGTGAGAATAACGTTTTGATCTGAGAACAGGTTCACATCTTCTGTCTGTTGTTGTTTTGAACTGCTTTTTTAAGCTCTATTTAGTTTGGCTTCATTCTTAAGACCCAGAACTAAACATTTGTCAATGCTTTTTGTGGTCATTTATGTGATTTTTTTTACCCCACAGATTTCCTGTTTTACTTGATTTTTCTTGACAAGTTCAATTAAGGCCTCCTGAATTGCTCAAACTTAACCTTGGGGCAACTCCTTTACTAGTGCTAGGGGAGTACTGCACACACACACACACACATGGACATGCATTCATGCACACTCAGGCTTGATTGATTTTTCAGTGCCTGTTGAGATTTAATGTGTCCCAAAGCGGCTGTATCATATTTTGCTGGGAGGGAAAACCTGTCCATTGTTTGTTCAGTCTCACCTGGGAACGAACAAGAAGCTGAGGAGAAGCAATGAGAGACAGAATAGAAAAAAGGGGAGTTTAAATGATAGTGAACATAAAATGTTGATGGGGAGAAGCTGTCGTCAACTTAGGAGGTTGGGTCACCCACTGGAGAGACAGGCTTAGGCTGAGAGATGAGGGCAGATGCAAAATGTTGTGATCATGTTTTTCCTTCTCTTTTCAAGGTGTGACCCCAGAGAGCTCTCCTAGAGCAGCTGCTGTAGCAGTGGAGGGAAAACAGCGAGCAGGAGACACATACAGATTAACGAAAAGAGTATTGATATGTTTGTAAGTGTCTGTGTGGGTGAGTGTCTGCTGAACTGGAAAAGGAGAGAGAGAGAGAGAGAGAGACTAAAAATGAGTTATGAGCACATTTCCAACCATGTAATCCCAGTATGTACAGTATGTCATGTGTGTCCGCCCGTTATATGACATGTACAAAGCAACACAATATCAGCATCAACAGTCTTTTTAACTTTACTAATGACAGTTTGAATGGACTGCTTAGAAAATCTTACTAAAACTAATTATTTCAAACTTTTGCTCATTTATATTATTATTGACCTAAATCCATGACAGAGTCTACGAAGAAGCACTTAAAGTCACTTCTGTACAACAAAGGGGAACATGTTAATATTAATGACAATAAACATTATTATAAAGTAGAACATTGTTATGGTCAAAATAACATCATAAAAATCTTGTTTTTTTTTATTCAATGTATTTGTTTGTGCTGCTGCTACATGTGACTGGAACTGTCTATTTCTGAACTACTTTATCCTTCATCATTTCTTATAAATATTTAGAAGTTATTCTGTGCCATGACGTACTCTCTGATGTAGAACAAACAGGTAGGCTGGAAAATGACTTGTCGTTTTCACTGATAGATTCCTTGAGAAGTTGCAGCTGCGTGACCGGCTCGCATGATGCGCCACACGCTGCTGCCGCTGTAGATTAGACGTTTATTAAATGTACTCAATGGAATTTGTGGTGTGCGTACGTCGCTGTGCTCACAGGTGACCAGAAATAGCCTTAAGATGTCCAGTCAGATAATCAGTATGTGCTGAACATAACAGTGCAAATGACTCTGTGTTTGCAAATAGTCTAAAATTTATGTTGTTGTTTTTTTTTTAACTCATTTACATTCAGGTTTGTTGTTGAAACAATCCCTGGGGTTATTTTGAGTCATAAACAAACCAAAGGATGTCAGGAGTTTATAAACAAGTAGTTATTTTGTAATTTAATCTTTAATGAACTTCTGTTTTGACTTGAAATCAGGTGGTTCCATTTTGATAGTTTTTTTTAACCATTACTTTAACACCAAACGACAGTTTAGGAAGTAAGGGTAAAATTTATGATGGGACTGAACCAGATTAACTTGTTTAATAAGCCGCATTTTCATCCTTCACTTTTATTATTTATTCACACCTTTGACTCAGGCGATGCAGATTATACATCTCCTTCAGAGCTCCAGTCATGGATTAACGTTGGCCCACCAAACTGTCGCTGGTAAACATTATGCTTTTTTCTCCCCTGTTCTGTAGAGCTGTAAATATCACACAATTTTTATTATGACACCAAATTAACTCAGAAAACTTACGCCTTTCAACCTGGCCTTATATAATCTTAGAACTGTTTCCTGTCATACAGAATAGGTTTGACTTGTAGGTAACAAGTCTCACCAAAGAATCTAAGTGAATTCTCATCCTGTAAACGTACAATACAGGTGTAGTTTTTAACCACAGTGACATCAAGTGAAACGTCACCATTAAAACATGTCAAAGTCATATTACATCTGGATTGTCTGGTTATAAGAAACCTAAATTTTATACTTCTTAAACAGCAGCTCTTCTTCCAAAGAGTATCATTACTGCCACTTAGAGGCACTATTTTCCAGTGATCGAATTAATTGTAGATAGTGATGAACACCCTGTCACCAAAGCAATGATTGTGTTGTTTTAAGTTTAATAAATCCCCGCCTCCAATTCAGCTTTAAATTACTAAATTAATTATTTTTGAAATTGCTATGCTGTGTAAACGAGCCTGATTTGACTTCATTGAAAGCACACAGTTCACTGTAGACATTTGGGAAAGACAGATTGTGAAAAAAGGCAAATTGTGAAGAACAAATTGCAAAGCAGTATTTCCCCGGGGAAGAAAGTAAGAAACTTCAACACATTGTGTCATCTTAGTGACACAAACTGCATTACTGAGGATATTTATGCAGATTCAAACTTTAAACAAGTCTTTGTTTTTAACCTCTGGTCAAAGTCACACCACTGTGTATTTAAATTCACTACAAAAACTTCCTTTTTCTCCTCCAGGCAATTTTAATTTATGTTTTCAACCACCCCTTGTAATGCTTTGTCAATTTGGTTCATATACATTGTTAATATACCAATTATTATTGTTTCTTTATTTCTTTATTTTTGGCCTGAACTGTACTCACATAATCTGCTGTAATCGTTGGATGCTCAAGTTTCCGACGGTACGTGAACGCTCCTCGTTTAAAATCTGCACCTGTCAATCAATGTTGACCCCGTGGTTTGCGTCTGGTTGTAAACCTCTACGCTCTTCAAGCTAGCGTGTAGCTAGCTAAACAAATATAATAATGTTGAATGAATTGTGGCTAAATGTAAGAAAATACATGATACAAGTCGATGTTTATATCAATATATCCTCTATGGCATTGTCTGGTGGCTGTTTGGGGGGGCCTAGGCACAGAAAAGTTTGGGAACCATTGGACTGGAATATTCTACCACTGCAGCCGTATCTGTGCATGACTGTGTTTCTCCTCGGTTTCACTGCTCCTTAACTGCACTTCTGTGAATACATGGTTCGAGAGGATCAGCATCATGGTGATTCTGCTCAACTGTGTGACTCTGGGCATGTACCAGCCGTGTGAGAACATCGACTGTACGTCGGACCGCTGCCAGATACTACAGGTAAGGCAGACTCTAGAACTGCAATATCAGCGTGGTGTTATTGTTGTGATAAGCTAGGACACAGCAGGCCCACTGCACCTTCTCTTTACTGTGGTGCACACACACTGCAGCTACTGCCTCATGGAACCGACTGTCTAGACGAGGAGTACAGGGTTCTGTTGTTGTTGTTGTTGTTGTTGTTGTTGTTGTTTTTTGCTGAGCCATAAGCAGTTTTATCTTTTTATTTAAATGAGAATGAAGATGACAAATGCTAGTGGTTCAGTTTTTACAGTCACAGATGCCACAACTGTAGAGTTTAAACTACACAGCTCTGTAAGTGTAGCTGTAGAGAACTGGCATCTGATGTGTGGAATTTTATTTACCTATTTAATCTGTTTCCATCTCATGTTATTCAGTTTGAGCCCAATCTGGTAATGTGATACTGACTGGTTCGTCTCAGTCACTGGTTCGACAGGAATGGTCTAATCAATCACTCAGGCATTTTAGTTATATTTTTTTAAATTAGTATTTTTTACCCCGTCTGTGGCAGATCACACAGCTGAGATTTTTACTGTTAATCTGGTTTCTGTATGTACTAACATTTTGTTGAATGCTGTTTTTTCCCCCTGCCCATTCACATGGAATGGTTATTAAGATGAGGTCCATATCCAAGTATCTCAGATCAACTGATAGATCACTGTAATCAAATCCATGCTACTGTGAAATCTGTTTCTGTTAGAATATTTGTGAATAAGAACATTTAAGATTTCTGTTGATTTGAATGACATAGTAAACCTATTCTGACCTAAAGATGCATGCAATGCGCCATAGCTTTCTTTAACTGCTACAGTTAATGTTGGGTTAGTTTGTAGGTTAGAGGAAAAAAATAATCCTGCCTGTTTTGGTGAAATGCATCAGCCTGTTTTTAACAATTTCCCTGCTGCAGAAGAACCTTTTCCAACCATAGCATACAGCATGTCTCTAGAGTCTATAGGGTGAATACTTCTCTCTGAGTGTTTCAGTGCAGGACGGATTGGAAACATTAGTTTTCCTGTGGGAAGCAAAACAAAATTCATTTTTATAGTCAGATTTCCTCCCTGTAACCATTAGTGTCTTTTTATTCTGACTTCTTATTCTCATTTGATAGAGACCTAGAATAGAGTTTGTCAATGAGAAAACCTGTAAAATGGAACACGGATGCAAATTTCCAAAATTATCTGCTGTCTGTCTTCCTCTGACTTGAGCGCCTCTTCCAGAACACTCTTCCATCCCTGGTGTTCCCTCACTCCCCCCCCACACACACTTGCTCTCTGTCCCTTTGCCCTCTTATATTTCTCTAACAAGCTCGTTGTCTCCTCTGGTAGCATGAGGGTAGTTGCTCTGGTGGTTGCTAATGGTAACAGCAGGGATTTTGTTGACAGGGCCTGGGTAGTTAGAGTGGCCCTCACATGCTCTTTTGGACCGCAGCAAAGTCTTAAATCCCCACTTCGCTTTCAAGAGTAAAGAAACAAAGGCACAAACAATAGATAACCTTTGGATAAGTTAAGATATAATGTTGGTTTGCTGAGGTCAAATCAGGATTTAGAGCCTCAGTCCTCAGGGGAAGGAAAGTGTTGTTTGGGTTCGGATCAGTGTAGTCTGCTTAACTTCCCAAAGGCAACTCCCGAAGGATTAATAAAACTCTTATCTATCTATCACATCATGAGAAACTGAAGTACATTTATCCCCATGTAACTTAAGTTAATGTGATAATCTGATCAAACTAAATACATTCATATTTTGGGAGATAGCAGTTAAGTTGGAATGTGAACATTCATATTTTGGGAGATAGCAGTTAGGGAAATTTGAATGTGGAATTGGAATATTTTAATATATGTAATATATTAATATATAATTTATTACAATATTACTATATATGTAACAACATGTATGAATATAGTTATATATTTACAGGCTAAGGTCATATATTTTTTAGACCAGGGGGGTTATGCACTACCTTTGTGTCCCAATGACCTGCTAACTGCAGCCTCTTCTCCTTCCAAACAGTCATTGTGGTGACAGTTTATGAAGTAACCCCAGAGCAGCTCTTATTAGAAACTATGAAGGAGCACATCTCCAGACAGCCTTAACCTTTTTACAAATCCAACTGAAGATGGAACCTGATAGAGTGGCCGGGAAAGAAACTGGCAGCTGTGACAAATAACGGTGATGGATTTCTTTCCCGGTCAATCAACACGGAACTAAACACAGGTTTGACTACTGCAGTCAGTGTCAGACTATACAGTGTACAGTAAAGAATTCAACATAGAATTTAATTAATTACAATGACATTATTCTACTAACATTGTATTGATATCCTCATTTTAACTATATTTGTTGCTGACACTTCTGTATGTAGCTCTCGTCATGTAAATGGGTTAGACAGCACCTTCAAACAAGAAGAAAAAAAAAGTTTCCCTAAATTAAGAGAAAATATGCTTAGTCCCTCTTGACATTTATGTTGGAATAAAACACCACATCTTCCACTTTGCTGCAGCCAGAATAAATTTGCACCTTTCCTAACATAGTTATCAAGTGTACTTGAAATCGATGGATCATGTCTAAAAACACTATCCACTGCTCTTCTCCACTTACGAGGTGTTACAGTCTTGCCCCAAATTTCCTTTGCATTATTTTTCACTCTCTTGCTCTAAGCCCACTGCTGAGTCTATGGTCGAACATTTAACCTTTGCCTGAACAACTGGGAAAGGCAATAACCCTAAACCACTTGAAGAAAATTGTTTTCCCACTGCACCGTGTGTATTGGCTTATGTTACTGTATGTGTTCACACTCTATCCTCAGGACATGTTTTTGTACTTTGGCAACCTGGAACTGTATCCAGCTTGAAAATGAAAACCTTTTTTCACCAGGCAGGTTTTTCATTTTTTGTTATGGTATTTATATATATTTTATGAGGATACATTTTGTTGCATTTGGAATCAAAGGATTTATTTTATGTTTAACCAGTAAAGGATTATTTCCTTTTTCAGTCTTCATTACATATATATTTGTTTGAAGACTTTAAATACACACACACACACACACACACTGTTCATATTAAGCATTGCTGTTGTAAAAGCTTAAAACGTCAACATTTGCTTGAGGTAATGTTCATAATTATGTTTCACTGTCTCTCATTAGATTCTTCGCTTTTGTCTAGCCTTGACTAATTTTATGACTAATATTGTTTTTGTTTAGAAAGCAGACAATTTGTCCTCATCAGAGACAAGTACTGTAAACACTGACAACATATGGAGCCCATCATTTTCATAAGCACAGAGGAGAGAACAGATGTTTGGCTTAAGCAAAATGTTATCAAATCCATCGAGTGTCATCTTTGGTTTACCCCTGTGTAACCTTCGTCACCTTGTATCTCCATAGGCCTTCGATGCATTCATCTACATCTTCTTTGCATTGGAGATGGTCATAAAGATGGTGGCCCTCGGGATCTTTGGGCGTCGCTGTTACCTGGGAGACACCTGGAACAGGCTGGACTTCTTCATTGTCATGACTGGGTGAGCAACGCAAAATCTTATTTTTTTTTTTTACTTTTTAAGAATTTATGTTTTGTTGGTTGTCTATATTTATTTTCAAATATTGCATCTTTTCCTGCTAATTCCAATCTATCAATACCTGAAGAAACACAGATGTGTATAACATCTGTGTTTCTGAATCCAGTGTTAATTTGTAATCCTGGTGCTCAATATTATTTTTCAAATTCTGAGGTACCTCGTGTTAACAGAACCTCTAAAACTGTCTGAGGTACCTCGTGTTAACAGAACCTGTAAAACTGTTTATTTATTTGTGTCAGTGTATGTGGGTAGGCTCCTAGAAAAACAACATTTAAGGTTGAGCACCAGGCAGTGACGACGGAAAGACGTTTATCTTCATTTAGTGCCATCATTTCATACTCAGTGGATCCTCATCACTTGTGTGAACATTTGCAGCTCGGACTTAAACAGAAAAAATGACAGTCTGTCGTCTCACTCATTTGGAGCTTGTTTCATCTAAGTAAATGTGTGTCCCTGTTTTTCCCTGTTCATGTGTGTGAATGTCTCTGTCTTCATTTTCTACTTGGCAGCGTCTATTATATTAGCGTCTATTCAGCTAATTACAAAAGACATTGCCAGTCTAAGGCAAACCAACCACCGTGTGTCTGTGACCTGGGGGCTTCTCACTGCTCTCTTACTCCCATTTGCCTCTTTCTTTGTCACATGCATGGAAGAACAGGCTCAGAAGATGCATTTGGTCCATTAACCCTATTAGAGGCAGTGCAATGTGTTTTATTTTACATCACATTTGTAATATTTTAGCCTGATCCACTCCACTGTGTTTGCTTCAGTCCGACCCCACAGCAATCAGAGAGAATCAAAGTGTATCTGATTGTGTTACTGTGTAACAAGTGTCACACTTGTTCTCTTATTATATTCAAATTATAATCTTAAAAAAAAATATATGAATCACTATTCTTTATTAGCCTGGAGCTAAATGTTTGCTTTACATAGTTTTCATATATATAAATATTTTTTTATTTGATTTAATGCTAGGATTCAATTTACAAAATGAAAAAAGTTCGCCTGTGGCCCTGCTGGAGATTGATATTTGATTTGTTAGATGGTTTTTTTTTGTTTACTTCCTGTATTACATGGTGGGCATTGTCAAACAATACATCCCACTAATACAACTCTTGTGTTTGCAGCCCATAAAAGGTTCTGTTTTGTTTCAGATGGTTTTAAAATCTTGTACACAGGAAACACAAACCCTCGGGCTAATGAGTGAACATCTCGTGTCTCTTCCCTTTTGGAGTTTTACAGGAGAATTCATACTGAGTTGAAGAAAGGATTTCACCTCAAAAACAAACCCTGCTGAGACTCAACTTGTTTTCACTACGTTGTGGATTTTTCCCAGTCTCCTTTCTTACACAATACAATTCATGAATGAAGGAGATCAGAGTTAGGATGAGATCCTAAACTGATTGTGTAGACTTGAACATGAGTCACATGAGTCATGAGTCACCACTGCCCTGTTTAAACCCTACATTTTGCCTTATGGAAGCTGTAGAGCCCAGCCTCTATTTAAACACATTTTGACCTGATTATTTATGTTTTAGGTTCACAGTACTTTTATAATATGATATTTCATAATAATGCAACACACAGACCTGCACCAGCACAGGATGAAATACTTGAAATACTTTGTGAGGTTTGTAAAAAAAAAAAAAATTAATGAAAAAAATGCTTGAGGAAGTCAACTAATTACCGTCCCAAATGCAGCAATTCTGATTGCTATTTACAGTGCATGCTTTTCCAGGTGTCTTTTATCTAACAGTTGACGTCTCTCAATCTTAATAAGACAGTCACGCGCACATTTTAATTGCTTTAAAAGTCTCCAGGCCTTCTTATTTTCTCATTCTGTGCCTCCGCCGTCCTCGTCCCATCGACACAACAGACATTAATGTGTTTGAGGCAGGTTGCAATAACACCTCTTCACACAGCCAGTCCCTAAACAACTGTTATGAACTTCTCTATACTGTGACATTCATCAAGCTGCTGTGTGGCATTTCTCTATTGTCCACCACGGGGACCGGTAAATTGGTCTGGAAATGAGCTTTACTCTGTGTTAAGGTGTTTCCAGGACTCCGAGGAGGGGGGAAGGAATCACACCTTAACAGCCTCACATGTTATAAATTTATAGTGGTTTTAAATATTTTATTAATACATGAATAAAATGTTAATGGTTTTGAGAATGTCGGCTGTATAACAGTTCAAATCGTTGTTAGAACAAAGAATCCCACTCTTGCTGTGCAGCAGGGCGCTGCTCTGCTGATGACTCGCTGCAGTGGAGATGGCAAATGGAAAGAGCTTCCCTGTGGGATCAATAAAGTATCACATTATTATAAATGACATGGTTCATAAGTCTGTGTGAGTAAGAGACTCTGAGACTGGGTTCTTTTTTTGTCAAATCCACTGGCTGTGCTCTGGGTGTTATTAGCTGGTGGTGGCAGGGCTGCTGCTGCATTGTACCATCAGTGGTTCAGCCCCTGGCTGCAGCTGAGACTTAAACCTGAGCAGTAGCTCCACTGGCAGAAAAAGACTGTTGAGTCACATCCTGCAGACTCAGGAGTTCCTGAGATTAGTTAAAGATCTGCTACAGTATCTGTGTTTTTTGTTAAATTTGAATAAGATGAAAAATAAGTACCTGATTACAAAACATGGTCCAAAAACATCTGGTAAAAAGTTGGTTTAAAATTAGTCCAGAAATTAAGTAACAAGCTTGATACACAGTGTAGCTCAGATATTGTGTGAATATAAGAATGTAATAGAAAAAAAAAAACATTTACAAAGCTAAAGCAACAAGTTAGTTGAATGTTTGCCATACTGTAGTCATGTGATCTGAACCAAGGTTATTAACATTAGAGCCTAGAAACAGATACACATTTTGCAAGAAGAATTCATATAAAGGTGGAGCCAAAGATTACTGAAATTGAGTCCAGAAACAAGGAGAAAAAAACCTTTAAAAATTCCTTAACTTTCTTTTTTTTCCTTCCACCTCTGTCTGGCTGTTTGTTTTACCAGGATGGTTGAGTATTCGCTGGACCTTCAGAACATTAATCTTTCAGCCATCCGGACAGTGCGGGTTCTTCGGCCTCTCAAAGCTATCAACCGAGTGCCAAGTAAGGACATTTACGTTTCTGTCTATGCAGACAACACTGTGCTCTTGTGTTTTCATATGTTGGGAAATGGTCTATAGGCCTACAGTACAGTATATATGTGTATATATTTCAGTAAATGAAGCACGTACACAGGTATAACTTCAGTGTTTGTTTTTTTGGGATCAGTCCGTGGCCACAGCACTCACTACTTCTGTCTTTATCTCGGTTCTTTGCTATAACTTTTTAACTTCTATTGATTTTTTTCTTTTTTTTTGCTCTGCTGCGCAAACAGGAAGCTCTTAATCACCATAAGCACCAATTAGCCGTTTCAGGCCGGGTTCACACCAACCTTATCTCTACGATGTAGCACTTTAGTGGTTAGCTAACAATTAGTAGTTAACAACAACGATGTGTAATGAAGTTTGTCTTTGGAAGAGTTTGTTTTGTGGATCTATTTCTTATTAATATTTAAAAGGTGGGAAAGAAACTTTTTTTTTTACATATAACACCCTTTTTTTCTATGTAAACAACGACAAAGACATTCTGTCCTTCCCAAAGTTTGCTCTTCCTGCAGTTAGTCTTAAGTAAATAAAGTATGTGATTTGGAAGTTTTCTTTTTTTTCAGATAAATTAAAATTTCTGAGACTTTCTTTAAAACAATGATGAACAAGTCTGTGGCAGAAGGGAATAATCTAAAAAAAAAAGCCACAATGTTTAATTCCCTTTGTCTATGGAGACAGAGGTTGTTCAAAATACTACTTATACTTACTAATACTAAGTTATATTCAGTTTTATACAGTAGGTAAACTGCAGAAAATGCCAATACACAACCAAAACATATGGCAACACTGAAATAACGGTGAGATTCTTTTTTTTTTTTTGACGTGGATGAGTTGATGCTGGATTACAAATGTACTTTTTTCTTTCTTGTTTTTTAATTTCTTGCATATGTTTCATATTTGCTTATATTATATATATATTTAAGCTATCTATTAGACTGTTAATGGACATCCTTTTCATTCAGTTTTTGGGTATATTTTAGCTAATTCTTCTCACTGTTGATCTTAAGCTTCAGCTCATTGTTAGCCACGCTATTGCTTTCTAACTATAAGCCGTTTTAGATGAAATAGCTCCCTAACAAAAGACGAGTCATCTGTGCTACTGCTGTAATTTATTCATTTTTGTGTTGTCTCTGGTGGTGAAATCTTTTTCCAGTTTGTCACTTATTTCAAGGAAAAATGTTCTTTATTTGTCTAGGAAAAATAACTCCTTAGAATTTGTAAAACAAGATGGCTCAGTATTTACGTTCAAGTCCATAAAGTCTGAAGTGTGTACTGCTTATTGCACAAATCTCCAGGTGCATGCAGTGTGTTAGCATACACGCTCTGCAGCAGCTGTGTGGCATGTGTGTCTTCGATCCCCTTCCCCTCTTTGTGTATACTTTGTGTATTATTGTTTACACTGTTTTTACTTGGCCAAGCGGTAATATCTGTGAAGTAGCCCGACTCCGTGCCCTATTCATGACCCAATTTGAGGTGAGGAAATGTGGGAATAGTAATATGTCTTGTTTGAGCCGTTTGATTGCTGCTGCGCTTAAAAACACACAGGGAGCACAAGCATACCCTGACCTCACACAAACTTCAATTTGCCGCCCTCCTACAATGGAAATGGTGGATAATAGTCCTGTGCTTCGCGTGTCGGTGGGAGCTGTTGTGTTCTCCAGGAAATTGGTGCGAGACAGTGGAACAGCAGACAAACAATGATGTTGAAAAGTTGTAAATAATGAAAGGATGAGGAGAGAAGGTGAAGGGGTGAAGAGGGGAGGATGAGAGAAGAGGAAGAAAAGAAGTAAAGGTAAGGGATAGAAGAAAAGAGATTGGTTAAGATAGGAGTTGGTAGGAAAGGAGGCGAGAGGAGAGAAGAGAGGAAGGCAGAAAACTGTGAATCTGTTTTCTCAGTCGTGTAAGGAGAGACATCTATCTTTATTTGGAAGTAGCTGGAACAGTTGGTGTAGAGGGGGAAGAAAATGAAATGAGGAGAATGAGTAAAAAATAAATGAGAAATTTATGTTTTACTTTCCTTCTTACATTTTTCAACACAACCCACAGGCCTTCTCTCTCTCTCACCCCTTCACTCCCTTACTGTCCCCCATCTCTCACTCTTTCTCTCTCTCTTTTCACCCAATTAAGCCTAATGGAACAGTAGCCTAATGACAATGGCCCTGGGGAACAAACACATTTAGAGTTGCCTCAAGCCTCCACCAGAGACACATGCACTCCAACAGCAGAGCCGCTCGATTAATACGGGGTTGACAAGATAAATTTACCAGCTAAGGAGGAACTTTGCACTCTGTCCTCTGAAGATTAAATTTGTGTAGGTTCCTTACTTCTAGTGCTATTGTTTGTTTTTTGCTGCTAGATCAGCATACCATTGTCTTTGTAATCTGCAATGCTCTGAACTTCGAGGTCCTGCACATTAGAGGCTGATTAACAAATCAATATTAACATTTTAAAAGTTTGGTAAAGTTGAAAATGTACTTCGACCAAGGACTTGTTGTAACTCTGTAAAATATAAAATGCAAAGTTTTGCTGGTTGGCAGTATTGTCAATAATGTAGAACAAAAATCCCTTATGTTTTCGTAAATAAGGCCATCGCTGATGTATTCTACAAATTGACTACTTGCTGATAAAAAAAGAACGAATTTCAGCTTCAGTCAGCAGCTAATTAGAAGCCTATACTAAGACAAATGTGTGAGTTTCATCGCTTGTCCAAATCTACTTCATTTAGATTTGGGTTGTCCAAGATCTGGCCCTGGGTCCAACTATGGCCCTAGAGCATTTTTTGTGTGGCCTTAAACATAAATATGTGCTTACAGCTACCATTATTTGTGCAAATAGAACTGGTTTAAAAAAAAGAAAAGAAAAAATTACTATAGTCATTATTAATAATAACAATATAGAAAACAAAATCCTCTTCCTTTTTGTACAGAAAAATAACTTTTAGACTTTAGTTACTTTAACAGTTTTTAATGTGAGACCTGATCCTGAAGTATCTCCAGGACAATCCAGATTCACTTCAGATGAAGTGAATCAGACGTAGCAAACAAACCCACGATATGTGAGCACACACTCTAAATAAGCGTCATTTAACTCATTACAACAGTCAAAGATGAATGAAGACACAGTAGTTAAGTTATGTTTGAGGTTAATGGACGTCTTACTGTCAACATTTGTTTTGTGTTTGGTTATACTGCAGGTGTGTTGTACAAATATTTTCTACTTGTTCAAACATTATTCATGTCACTGCATCCTCCCCATACCTCCCTCGCTCTCCCTCGCTCTCTCTCTCTCTCTCTTTCTCTTTCTCTCTCTCTCCCTCTTCTGCCGTCTCGCTCAGCTTCTCACCTGTCATTCTGAATGTTGGCAGTTTAGACGCTCGGTTGTGTTCATTGCCTATTAACCCACTGCTGAGTTGTCATTCATGAATCCCAGCGGGGCTCTGCCAAACCCCAACGAACACAAACAATGGATAGACAGAGACAGGGAGTCACACATGACCGTCACACTTGTGGTAAAACCAACGTCGCTCAGATATGCAGTGGGAACACGTCCCATGTGTCAGTGGGAGGTTGCTGTGATCACATCAGTGGCACTCACCTTTCTGTCTGGGTAGTTTAATCAACTGACAATATTTTTTTTACTCGCAACTTTTTCTGTTCGACACGACCAAGCCAGTTTGGATGACAATGAATAATAATGACAAGACGGGGGAACGTGCTTGTGTTTAATCATAAACAAAACCTCAAATTACTTTATTTATCTTCCAGATTATTCATATCTTTGTCTATTCATTTTCAATATTCCACAGAAGCACTTTGTCTATTTTGGTCCCTGTGCAACAATATTTATGCTCATAAACAGAATGGCTGCAGAGAAAAACACCCCAGATTTGATGACCAATCACTGATTGATTGATCTGTTAAACCACACAGGTCTGCGGATCCTGGTGAATCTGCTGCTGGACACCCTACCCATGTTGGGCAACGTGCTGCTGCTCTGCTTCTTTGTTTTCTTCATTTTCGGCATCATCGGCGTGCAGCTGTGGGCGGGGCTACTGAGGAACCGCTGCTACCTGGAAGAGAACTTCACTCTGTGAGTTGAACCCTGTGTCTGTGGTATGTTCATATGTTGAAGACTCTTTAGAAAGGAGGAAAAAAGAAGACAAAAAAAACCTGATGATTACAAAATGGAACCATTGAGATTGATGAGCTTTGTGATTTGAGGGGGGGCATTTGGACGTCTGGTCTTGAATGGGTTAAAAGTGATAATTTACCTGTGGAAAGAATCAGCATAAAATGTTAATGCATTTAAAATGACACATAGTGGATATAATTACCTACCAATGGTGTAATGCACAGTTTGCCATTGCAAGTAAAGATAAAGACCACATTGTGCTAGAGTGTTGCTTTTCAATAACATTAAAAATGTGTTTTTTACTCAGAAAAGACACAGGTAGGGCTGTCACCATGTACAGATGGATGCTTCATACACCACAGCTACTCTGCAGATATCCTAGTGAGAAGCAGAGGCAGCTGCAAAGGTGTTTTTGAGTTATCTTTTTTTGGAAGGAGACCCTGGGGCGGACACAGGTCATGTTGAAGAGATCACATATTTTGTCTGACACATAAACACTTCAGCATTCTCCCAGGGCAGTTTGGTGCAAGTGCCTACAGTAGGGGGGCAAGGGGGTGTTTGGGCTACTTCACTGAGACTGCTGTCCTAGTGAACGTGACCTGAATCACCAGAGGAAGATGAAGACCACGTGATGTATGTTTTATAAATAACTTCCTATTGATTTTATGCCAAAATGCATACAGTGCGCCGGAGAAAGTACATAATATGACAACAGTATCCATTAGTCAGGTCTGCCTTCCAGAACTTCTTATGATTCCTGACGCTGAAAAGCAAACGACTGTTTTGTTTTCATTCTGTGGCTTAGATGATGATTTTTCCCGCGGTTCGGTGCATATTCATGACCCCACATGACAGCGTCACCTACTGAGCCTTTGTGTGAGTTTGAGTGACATTTACTGCTGTTTACCCTTTGATTTTCCAGCGTTCTCTGTGTCTTTCTACTGCACTGACATCATCTGAGAAAGAGAACAAATGCCCCCACCTACCCCGTCATTGTGCATTACCCCTGCATCACTCTGTGCCACTGTGCAGTTTCTGATTGTGCTGACACAGCGTATACTAATGACAAATCTAATCACTGGATAAACCTGGACATATGCCAGCCAGCAATTTGCTGCCTAATTCGTCCTCACCTCAAAGCTGACATTGAATCACCCACAACCTTTCAGTCATCACATGAATGGACCATTAAAACCCAGCGTTTCTCAAACGATGAGTCGTGGCTTAAACACAGGTTTGAGAGATGCGTATTATAGTTTAAGAACAGTTTTGTTTGGTCACGACTTTCTCTTGTCAGTTTATGCCTTCTCCTTTGACGTGTGTGGTGACGTTGTGCAATTCACAATGTAGAAAATTCATTTACAAGAAGGAGAATTAATTGTTACTACATCTGCATTGTGGTCGATTAATGAAATATCATTTTGTGGTTGTATCTTCCCTTGCATTCCAGGTTTAAGTGCAGCTTATGTAATTATCATTATAATTCCTCGGGGAGCTAAGAGATGATCAGGAACAAAGTGTTGTAATTTTTAAATCACAGCGTTAGCGTATAATGCAGGCTGGTCACAGTGTTTGTGTTCTTAATTATAACAGCCCTTGAGTCACAGCTCAAGGGCTGTTATGCTAAGTGAAGGGCAAACGTCCACTCTCTGGGGTTATAACTATAATCAAGTGCCACAGTCAGTCTACCATCTTTACACATCTGACCTCCACTTCTCTCTTCACAGGCTTCAATCCACTTGCCTTTCAAATGCATTGTTCTTTTCATTCATTAATTAATTCATTTATTTTTTAAGATCCTAGGAACCTTGTGGTTTCTTTTGATTTTTATTTATTTCCTTGGGTGGGTTGAAATGAAAACATTAATACCCCAAGTCTCCTGTCTGTCTCAGAGATAAATTTAAGACAAATCTTCAACCATGGCACCCAAAGAACCTCCAGTCATTTTTATGTCTCACCCCTCATTGGCAGTTGTTTTCTCAGTGTGATTCCTCAGGTTTTACACCACACTGTTTGCAGCCAAGTCACCAGCAGGGGGGCAACAGCCTTCATTCATGCTCCACTGCTCTTCCAGGGGTTGTTTGTCTACTTTGATTTTTCTCCTCGTATTTACCCCTTCCCCTCGGAAGACCATTAAAAATGACTGATTGAAACCCTGAAAGCCTCCACATACTTCACACATGTCTGTGTCACCGGACACTAAAACATATAATTGTATAATCCTTACAATAAATTATTACGCTCCAAGGCTGTCTCGCTGCATTCCAACAAACTCTGCTGTGCCACCCAATCAATAAATGGTTTCTATGCAATCCTCAGTGGAAAGTGATGCAGCTTGATGTGGCCTAACTATTGATCCTGGAATTAGTGAGTGTACATGTGTGTCGGGCTAACGGTTTTGAGGTAAAACGAGAAATTCTACTGCTCTGCATGTCAGCACTATCTATTATGTTATTGACCGGAGGAGATAGGGTAAGATCAAAAGAATTAGACAGGAAACGAAAGGGAGCCAGGAGTGGAAATGAGAAGAGCACGAGGAGTAGGAGCCAATATAAGAGGCAGGAGGAGGATTTTATGGAAGAGGAACACATCTTAAAATAAAAATTAATGCGAGGGACAATAGAAGTAAATGAATGGATCCGGACATTGGTATGAAAGAATCATCCGCCGAACGCTTTGTCGTTGCCGGCAAAAGAAGTTAACCACTTTGTGCTGAACTTCTTGAAGACAAAAGAATTCAAATTCAATGCAACAGTGCTCACTCCAGATCTGTGTCCTACTTAGAGTGCCTTGTGAAATCTGAAGTGCAAAATCAGACAATAGGGAGCACAAGTTGTTGAACAATTTCCAGTCTTTCATTCAGCAAGAACAGGCGGAAAAACTGCAACAATTACAACTTTCCTCAGTTGCTAAACTTGAAAAATAAGAATGTGACCCACTTTTAAACTTGCATTTCTTTCTACTTTTTACTGTGTCGCATGTATTAACTCTTTAGATTAGTTTAGTTTTGACAATGTCATTTGCTTTAGATTAATCAGAATTATTGAAAATGTGATAAATATCTATAAATAATATAATTTAAGTAATAAAAATAAGAATTATTGAAAATGTGATAAATATCTGAATAATTTAAGTAATAAAAATGTAAAGTGATGTAATTTTGACAGCCACAATTAAATCTTGTTTGCACGACGTATCGACCGGTGTTTCAACACAAGGACATTTCATGAAGACCCTCGTGTTTATCCACAGTGAAAGCTGTATTTTTCACAGAATAACAACACAAGGCTGAGGAGAAGATCCATGGATTTCATTTCAGGGCTCTCCTCAAACGGTGACCCCGTGGCACCAATTTAGAAACTGCTCTCCTCAACATAATTTTGCAACCCAGAAAATGATGGATGTTTATCTTCACCTTTCATTCTCAATCACATTAAGAGCAGGAAGTTGGCAGGAGATTCAGAGCAACTGTGCAGAACTGTCTCTCTTTCCAAGGCAGTTGTTGTCTTTGCAAACATGGCCTTACAGTGAATGTTTGATATTTCATTACAATTTGTAGAAACGATATTTATTTGTTTTTCACAAGGAAATGTGTGGATGTACTGATTCAGTTATTGGTGGTTATTACTAACATGTGCTGATCCAGTGTCTAGTGTTTAATTAGATTGTACCGTGAAGTTTGCTCACTTTCTGTTCTCTTCAGTTGCCTATGCTAACACTTTATAATTATTTTATTTATTATAAATATTTTATATTTATTTTATTTTGCTGTAGATCTTCAGGTATGGCCCTTCCTGCTCCCTACTATCAGCCGGAGGAGGATGATGAACGGCCCTTCATTTGCTCTCTACCGTCTGATAATGGCATCATGTCATGCTCCGACGTGCCTACGAGGCGTGAAGGAGGTCGCACCTGCTGGCTGGACAAAGAAGACGGTCCTCACCGCCAGGCTGTAGGC